GAGGAAGGGAGGAGAGGTTTCACGGCCGTGATCCCGCTCTGCTGAGGCTGGGACAGGTAAATCCACCCCCGCTGGCCGCCTGACCCCGTGGAACGGGAAGCGCGCTCGGCTCGGGGTCGAGAGGCTGCAGCTGGGCCGGGGTTGGGTGGGGAGGGTTCGAGTGGTGTTTCCGTAAGACACAGAAAGTTTTCCGCATGTGTTTTCTCGCTTACCTGCGTGCTCACCCCAGAGGTGGGGGCTCCTTTCGCCTCGCTGTGCTTTGCAGACACAATTATTTGTGGGGGACAAAGGGTGTGCCGCCTTACATGATCCCATGTTGCAGATTTATTTATGTTTAGATTTGGGGGTGATATGCGACCAGGCCACTTATCAAAGCGTTTCTTTGTGAAACGTTTCTTAAAGTGTTTCTGTGTTTGCTATTCAAAAACCTAGAAAATTGCAGCACAACTCCAAGCTAACTGTTTTGACAGCAGCTGCGACAAAACTGCTTTATTAAAGTTTCCCAGTGCCATAACATGGTGGTGTTCAATGTCCACCACAGCACCAGGAACACCCTGTGCCTCGTGGGAGAAGAAGAACCTGCTCACTGCCATATGGGAGTGTATCTGGAAATGGTTTAATGAAATATTTGTTATCAACCCCGAGTTGCACTGATTGCTGAATATCTTAACAGAAGAAATATTTACAAGTACAGCTGCTGGACGTGTCAGTGAAGAGCGCAGATCGTTCATACTCACATTTATATTCACAGCTTCCTATCTCCAGGTTTACTGTAGCATCTTTGGTAAGTGGGTTCAGATGTTGAGTTCGGGGCTGTTTTATTCTCAGCTCACTTGAGAAACAAAAACGTCAGATGTGAGGGAAAATATGTGAGTGACCCAGTGTTTGAAAACAAGTGGATTAATTCACTGCTTAGAAAAAGTACTTCAAGATATTCTCCTGATTGTAACATTTTCTCTTCTTTCCAAAGGCCTCATTGTCTCTTGCATTTCTCTGGGGTGCCTGATGTTACAAGCCCTGCCGGTGAAGGATTTCTCCATTTGGAGTGGAGCACAGCCCCTCCCAGGTAACATTCCCTTCACCAGCAGCTTCCAAAAGCCGTGCTCAGACCGGCTTTGGTACTTGCAGGGCACACAACTGTAAAACAGCCAACGTGGCTGTGTGACCTGCAGGAGTAATCTGTTTTCGGTCATGGTCAATTAAATCCAAAGTTTTGTTGTTTTGGGTGGTTTTTTGGTGGTTTTTGGTTAGTTTTTTTGTTTGGTTTTTTTTTTTTAAGGAAGGAAACCCACATAAATCTAACCTTGTCAATAGTCACAGGCTATTTTGTCCTTAGTTTAATTCTGCCTTTTGTCAGTTAAACTGCCACTGTGGCTGTTGGCTAATTCAGCCTTTCAGGTCACCCCGTATTTCTGAGCTGCTTTGCTCAGCATGAAAGTGGGAAGTCTCCTATTTCTTCTTTTTGGATGGCAAAAATAGTTGGAGCTACATACAATTATGTGAGTAAGTAACTAATTAAGCCTTTTCTGGTCAGGAGAAGGCTTGTGGTTTTTAGATTTCAAAAGAGCTTTTATTATTCTAATGATAAGATTGACTTGATAGAAGTCCTATTTTGTAAAAATAACTGGTAGATTTTGCTGGAGGGAGAAAATGATAATTTTATTTGGAGATACACATTTTTCCAAAGAGTACTTTCATACCCCAGAAAAATAAAGATCTATTATATAAAATCAACATGCATATACATAATACTTTACTATTTATGGAGAAGCAATGCTTCATCTGAAACAGTCATTAATCTGATTAACGTCCTTGTTTCTAAAAACATCCTTTGTTCATATAAACTCCATCCTTCTTCTGAGGACTTCTTAATAGTGGTTAGGTTTAAAAATTTTCCACTTCAATTGTAAGTGCCTTTTGCTCCATCATATATTATTGTGGAGGGTTCACTGTGGGTGTGAAGGAGAGAGGAAAAGAAATACTTCTCTGTTGAATTGACTCACCATAGGTCAGTAATTTCTGCCAGCTCACGTTCAGTGTTAGAAATATGGTGCAGGCAATTGTCATTTATAAACCTGGAGAAAAATTCTTGTATCAAAAGACAAAAGACAAGAACAGTAGGCACTGTTAGAAGTTTTTGGGCATCTCATTGGCAGCTACCCACCACAGAGGGCTGGCAGGTGATGCAGACATTGCAGACTCATGTCATAACACATAAAATCAAAATATGGAGCTTGAATGCAGAAAGTACTTCAGTTCTCGATATAGGGTCCCATAGGGTGCCAGGGTCTATGACTGACTCCCCTGATGAAGCAAATCTCAGACCTGACTTAAATAACTGAGTAAATAAAAAATCTGGTTTTGAAGCACCTAAATTGGTATGTGGCAGCATGTCTGTTCCCTGAGTGGACTATGTGTGATGCTAATAGGTGTTTATATCCTCAAAACCCTTCAGCTTTCCTTTTAAAGGAATGTTTGTTTCCCTTCCAGTGTGAGCAAGGAAAGCATGTGGTTAAAGGGTAAACCTACAAGTTCAAAAGCAAGTAAAAGGAATCTCTGAATAGATTTGCATGGCATTTCATGATTTTCAGTGAATTTTGTGAGTTCTGAGGGTAATGAATGGCTACATGTTTTGACAGATACATGTGAAAAATAATCTGCTAAGTGTTTGTTCTTAGTGAACCAGATGATTGACTGCAGTTTTCTCCAGCTGTGCTGGTAATGCCACTTGTTAGAGCATGAGTCAGAACACAGGCTTGCTTTTTTCAGATGAAAAGGAAGAAGATGCATGTCGCTATTTGTCCTCTCCATGAACATGAGACACACTATGTCAAACCCTGGTAGTTCTCCTAGAGCTGTTAGAAGACACGTCAGCTGTTGCCTTTTTACACTACAGTTTATCCTGTCCTTACAGCCACAGAAGAAGAGCAGGGAACAGAGATGCCTAAAGCAGAGAACAGAGATCCCTAAATCACCCTGACCTTGCCCTGCTCTTGATCCAAGTTGCTCAAAGGCACTTTAAGGAAGGTGCAGCCAGCAGCATCAGGAAACCTAGTCCAGCAGCACAGCTGGGAACACCTATTTGGATGGCTCCTCTCTCTATGTGAGGCCACAGAATTACGAGTTTCATGGGTCTTCAGAGCTTTTGGAGATGAATCATCATCATGAATTCTAATAGACACACTGATCCAGCTGGGTTAACTACTGGGTAGGTAGTCTGTCAGTTAGGCTTTTTGTCTCATCATTCAGCCAAACCCCAGCTTTCTTGAAGTTAGTCATAGAAAATTCCAGTTGATTTTCAACAAAACCAGCAGTTTCCATACTGACTTGAATTAGTATTTGTTTGGACAACAGTGGAAGTAAGGACCTATAAGCATCATTAGTCTAGTTGCACAAGTACTTAAAAATAAGAAGAGTAGGAGGGTTACCTTTCCTTTATGAATCAGCAGGGTTTTCAGGCATTTTTAATAGCCTGAGGAAGGTCACAGCCTCTTAAGTGGCTGTGCAAAAGTGTGTGTCACAGCACCATCAATGCAGTTGCCAAAACACGAGTCCCGGAAGCCAGGGGATTATAAGGTTTGTTCAAGGTTTATTCTCTTCGTTTACTCTAGGTTTTTCCAAAGCCTTCTTCTCTCTTCTGGTGAGCTATCTGAAAAAGCTTTTCAATTACTTGAGTGTATTCCTAAGTGGTCGGAAGTACCGTGTTCTTTGACTAGATTTCATAATATCTGACACCTTATCTAGAGCTGAGGTTTTGGGTATGTCACTGCACTTTTCAGTGCATTTGTTGCCCTCTCTGCTTCTCAGCACCCCTCTATCCATAGTGTCCAGTCTGGTTACGAGGAGAGCAGAAGTTTATGTAGGTATATGTGTTTCTTGAAAGCTGCCAAGCTTCTACTCTTGCTTGCAACACCTTTTAGGTGGTGTGAAAGTACCCATGGTGAGTAACTCCCACAGGTTCAAACAGAGGCAAAACCAAATATGTACGTCTCTTTTCTCTCTCTCTTTATTTTTTTTATTTTCATTTTTGTAATGGTTTGCACGTTTTCTCTGTGTGAGGCATGGGTAGAAGTTTCTGTAGTTCCCAGAGGAGGGGGGGTGAGGAGTGGGTGACAGGGGAAATGGTGGTTGTAGTCTCGCACTTGTTTAGGCAGTTCATAGAGGGAAGTCACATGAGTGGTCAGATCAGGTGCACAGTACTACATGTGGCAAACATTTGTGCTGTATTTATTGATACATGGTGTTTCCCAGTGCAAAAGCTGCTCTTTGCACTTCAAGTCTGACTTTTTGGACATTTTGCATAGAAGTTTTAAATCTAGACTGAAAATCTGAATGGATTTTAAAACCACTGACCAAGTTTCATTCTCTGAGCAGATGCCACACAGTTTCACAGTTTGGTTTTCTTTGCCTCAAAATGAGGGTTAAAGAAAGGGCATCCTTTGAGAAACAGCTGTTCTTTTATATTCAAATTAACTACTTTTATATGTGTAGAAAGAAAGAGGACATTAGATTCTGGGGACTCCATTGCGCAGTAAAAGACAGAGGGTTGTTGCTTTATTTTTTTTCAGCATTGACTAGTAACATTTGGATGCACCCAGTTATTTCCTAATATTATTGATTCCACTTCACTTTTGAAGGATTTGCTGTTTAGAAAGTGAGTATTCACCTTTTCTGTATATCAGTTCTTTGCAAAGGGTCTGAAGCTAATACAGATTAAAACCTCTGAATTAACCTTGTGAGAAGCATTTTCTTTGAGATAGGATTCTCACCTTACCTTCCCTGTGACCTACTCTAGTCCCCAAAGCAGCTAAATGCAGTCCAAATTTTAAGAGAAACATTTGCCTTTTCTTTTTTGAGATCTGTTGCTGAGATGCCTCTTGTGAAATCCCATGTACTCTAGAAAATGTGAGAAGTAAACAGCAGAGGATATATGTTTACTTACTAGACTTAGTGGGAGATTCTGACTAAGAATGTGGTCTCTTACTAATAATGAAACTGTTTTGAAGTTTGAAAATATGTATTTTGGTCACAATGCATTATTTAGATGATTGTTACTGATAGTGCTGGGTGCTCTCAAACCATGACAAGTGGCCTCAATTTCCAAAGCTGCTGCAATATGTTACAGGAACATAAGTGAGGTGAACTGGGAAAAAAACCCCTACATTTCAACTCATATTTAAAAAAAAAGTATCAAAGGCCAACAGCCTGGCCTTTGGCAGGAATTTTTTACCAGCTCAGAGGTGGAAGACAGCCTTTCTTCTTGAAGGCTGTTGGTTCCCAATCCACTTGCTCTCCCATCTCCCATATTTTGTATTCTTTTACTTCATGATGAATTCAAGTCTTAGCTGCCCAGATGTTTGAGCCCTCTGTCATTTAGTGAGACTGGACTATTCCAAAACCTCTTGTCATTGCAGCAAGACTCCAGCAGCACACTGAACACCTGCACCGGCAAACTGAGCAGCTGCTTGGGTTGTTATTGAGACCTAGAGTGCACTAATTGCAGGCTTTGTGGTATAATATTAAAATGCTAGGTGAGATAGCATGGGCCCTTTCTGGTTTTCTAGGGGTTCCCAGCCACCTCTGTGTGTGACATTTGGGAACATTGTAATTACTTCTGAAGCCATTTAACGCATCACCAGTGCATGTTTCCATCCACTGTGAATTTAGGTAGCTCTTTCTTTGTTCCTGTTCATGAACTGGTCTTCCTTTCTCTGACAATATACAGAATGCTGACATATTTGGAAAATAGCCTGAGGTGATGGATTTTCCATTGCAGGATTGTGGCTCTCTGTTTTCTGTTCTTCATTTGCTGTGCTCCTTAACTGGGTGAAGCCTTTTAAGCCAGAGAAGAATCATAGTATATTTTAGATTGGGAAAGACCTTCAAGGACATTGAGTCCAACTGCTTCTGTTAGAAATTTTGGGACACGTAAATGATTTGTGCTCACAGCAATGATTTGTGCTCGCAGCTTGCAAATCTACTCACAAGTTCCTGCTGACCTCATGAATGTACATGATCCCACAGGGATAACAAAGTATTCCTGTAGTAGCTGTGTATCTGTTAGGAGTACATGTCAGTGTCCCCACCCAGGAGCTGACTTCTCCTTGTACAATATGCCCTGCAAGCACCCGAGGGAAAAACCCCAACCTTCTTTGTCCTGTGCCACAGTTGACAAATATATCATTGCAACATCTTTGCAAAGTCAGGAAATGTTCTTTTTGTAGTCCACCCTGTTAGAAACCTGAGGCACAGATGTGCTGAGGGAGGCTTTTCATCCCACCAGTCTGAAGGAGCCATGACAAGCTGCAGATGAAATCTGGATGCATCTAAGTCAGTGGAAGTTTTCCTCTTGGCTTCCAAGAGCCAATCCTCACTGCAGTACCTGTGGAGGGTCAGTCTGCACAGTGACTGCACCACCTTTCTTGTTTTGAGGGCTGCAAGTTTGCCCTGCTTGGGTCTGAAGCTATTCCCTGTGTGACTCTCTCCTCAGTCCCCTGCAGCTCAAAGTTCCATTTAGCTGCGGTGCAGTTGTCAGTGTTAGCACACCTGCTGCTGGAATTAAGGTTGCAAAAATTCTTTGCCTATTTAAGCAAGCATCAGATCTAGGTTCAATTTTGATTTGTGTTGAGATGAAATGCTTTATTTCTGAAAATTGCTGATTCATTCAAGCCGAAATGGAGAGCAAGAGATGTATCTAACAGGATCCTGATTTATATCAAGAAGCAAAGGCACTTCAACTTTGATTGTGCACACCTCAAGAAAGTGTGCCAACCTCTAGATTGGGAGTGGTACTGGTGGTGTAGCTGTTTTCATTAAAAACCTCAAAAGGTCTTGATTTAATTCTAATTCTAATATAAAAGCATCTCTGAAATAATGAAAAGGTTTATTGGATGGGCAGATGAATGTTTCCATTCAGACCCTCTGACAGATTTTCTAGTAATGCCTTGCTACTTTTTCATGACAATGAAAGTGGAAGTTAGATTACAAAAAGCCAAACCATATTTATTAGCTGCAGTCATACTGAATTTATTTTAAAATAATAAATATTCTGGGGAAAAAAGCCCAATCCAAATTACTTGCCAAGGTCTTCGGCAGGTGTCATATCAGAATTGCACTATTTCCATTTTATATAGCAAACCAACTTACTGTCATTCAATTCTTTTAACATAGATAAAATAGGCATCATGTTACATTATTCAAGTCTACCACATTAAATACTTTCAATACTTAATACTGTCAATAATTAATTACAATAATTTTGGTATCATCCTAAGATATGTTAGTGCCAACAAACAAATAATAAGTGTTAAGATGGAATAGTAAAAGTTTCTGAAGTAAAGCTGTTCAAACATCTTCCTTAAAAAAAAAAAATTAAAGATTGAAAAGAATATTTACCATGTCATGAAAGTGTCAAATGACCTGCAGTTCACAAGAAAATAAGTTACACTAATTTGGATGGAAGTCTGAATTAATCTGGAGAGTTTACCTTTGCTGAATTAGCTGCCTCTTGTATATTTTATTTTGTTGTTTATGTGGAGCATTTGCTGTGGCATTTATATTTGATTCTTCTCAAGCCTGGCAATATTTACCAAGTTTCTATATTATTTTCCAGAAATTAAAGCTTTAGGCATGAGATCTTGGTGGAGTTCCTTAGTCATTTTTCCAATTTGATCTGGTATTTTGAAGTATTAAAAAAAAAGAAAGAAAGAAACAGGCAGCTCTAATCAGAATTATTTCAAGTCTTGCAGATAGGATATATTCCAAATATTGTAGTGCTTTGGGCTGGGATTGAGGAAATAATGAGCAAGTCTGATTTACTGATTTTTTTCTATAATAAAATTCGTATCTTAGTTGAAATGCAAATCTTGGGCTTATTTTTCTGGAAACAAAAAGGGTCCCCTTGTATACACTTGTAAAGGTAGAAGGAAGATAAGAGATTGACAAGAGACAGCAGTTTCCGAATATTACTGCAAATAAATTTATAACTTTAAAATTGGAACTAACACTGGTTTCATTCTCAAGCACAGGCAGGTCTGGGAACAGTTGACGCTCTTCGTGCAGCTGTCAGCCTGAAAAAGGAGTTTGGCAGTTAGGTGGGGGTGGGAGGGAAGGTCTGTCATGTGGAGGAAGAAAAACCAAATCTTTTAGAAGAGGTAGTGAGGGAGGAAACAAACACATGCAGTGAAGGGAGGGGAGAACAAAAAGCCTGTGAGTGTCTCTGTGATACCCCCATTTTAGCTCAGGTGTGTATCTCAGTATCCCAGAGAGCATTCTGACACCAGCAATTGCTGAAAGACACTTCTGCCTCCCCTGAGAGGAGAGCCAGCTCTCCATCTGCTCTGCTAGCCAGTGGTCCAGTGTGGGACTGGCTGGGGAACTGGGCAAGACGTGCACACCTTGGCTTCTAGGTTTGCGCTGCCCTCGCGTGAGGTCTGTCCATGTTTCTCTACAGACATTAAACAGCTCAACTCTTCAACAAGGTTCAATACAAAATGCAAATACCAGGATTTATTTGTAACACTCTGTAGTTATTCTCATTTACAGATGTTTAGAAAATACAGAGGTGTGAAAAGAAAAGCCATAGTGAATGTACACATGCTGCAGTTACATCGGAGGGATACCACTGCCATTGTCCAGTCTCCAGGGTTTTTTTTCTCGGCTGTCCAGACAGTTTTTTCATGAGCTGTGTTAGCTGACATAGCTGTCTTCCCTTTGAAGTCTTTTAGCAGGTTTGCATGTGTGTAACCTTTCACTCCAGAACTCACTGTGTCCTTTCACTTAGTAAAAAGCAGTGACTCTTTAGCTGTGACCCAAGCAATCAGAAATTGTGTCAGGTCCACAAAAATGCCTTAAAAAGCACAAGTGTGCTTTTGTTGGGCTTTTCTTTAAGAGAAAGGTTAAATGCAAAGTTTTGCTTGTCTCCTGGTTTCTCTGCCTTCAAGTTGTTTTTTTCTGAAATCCGAGTGGCTAATCACTTTAATTATTGTGATTAAAATTAGAGAATTTAATGCTGTAATAAAAAGCTGAGGCTTAAAATGCACAAGACTCGAGTTATGAGAACTGGTAACACACAAATTCATTAAAATATTGGATTTCTAAGTTCAAAAAACCTCCAAAACCCCAGAATTGATCGGGTTGGTTTGGGGGCATTGTGAATAATTTGTGGGCAAGCTAGGAACCAAAAAGAAACACTCGGGTTGCTCTTCTTGCACAGAATAAAAACCTATATACACATTAGTTCAAAGCTTGTCTTGGAGAGGCCTTGACTGAATCAGATGGTTCTTTTCTCTAGTTGGTAGCATTTGTACTGGGGTTCCAGCACGAGCATTTGTAGCTATTTCTTGGTATGACGGTTTCACATTTACACTGTGCATGGTCACAGCAATCGTTGTGAAGTAATTCTGTGGTTAAGGTTTCCTATTCCATCTATCTGCATTTAAAAGGAAGCAACACCCCTCCCACCTGAAGCACCTGTCTCTGTTGCTCATTTCTCTTTTTCTTTTCCTGCCATCTTTGGGGAAAAAGTTCCTTCCTCCGCAGTCCCAGCTCAAAGTTAGAGGGACACAGAGCGCTTCCTCTTCCTGGTGGCAAACTCCCCTGCCACGAAATTGGATAAGGAATGGCTCAAGTTGGTGTCCAGGGTTTCAGAGCTGTTGCTGCTGATTTTCACCCATGGGCACAGGCACTGGAGCATGGCTCTGCGGATGTAGTTGTCAAAGCAAAAGTAAATGAAAGGGTTGGCACAGCTATTGGCAAAAGCAAAAGGGCTGCTCACCTTTATGCCCAGCTGGGCAACGGTGCCAGTAAAACAGTCGGGCTGCTTTAGGAGTCGCAAAAGGATGGCCATAAGCTTGAAAAGATTGTAAGGAACCCAGGAGACAACAAATGCTGCCACTACAATGAAGACGATCTTGATGGATTTTCTCAGTTTCTTATCACGTTTCCCAGCCTTCTGATAGTGCACACAGAGTCTCTTGGTGATGGAGCAGTAAAAGGTTAAGATACTCAACAGTGGGAAGAAGAAGGCCAGGATTAAAAGCATCAGTGACATGATCAGTTTGACTTCTGTCACGGCTTTGTCTGTGCAGTAAGTCTTTCCGTCTTGCTTCCTCAGTTCTCTGGACAAAAGGGTTGGCATCCCTAAGCAGCAGGACACTAACCAGACACAGATGCAGAGTGCTCTGGAATAGGCTCTTGTCCTGATCTGCCGTGCGATAGAGGGGTGCATGATAGCGAGGTAGCGGTCAGCACTCATACAGGTGAGGAGCAGGATGCTGCAGTACATGTTGACTGAGATGACATAGGAACTGGCTTTGCAGAGGAAAGATCCTACCCTCCAGCTCTCGTCCGACACCTCCATGTCCACCCAGAAAGGAAGAGTGATGAGGAAGATGAAGTCAGATGCAGCGAGGTTGACAATAAAGATGTCAATCAGCCTCTGGACCTGTCGCTTGAAGACCAAGGCCACTATCAGGATTGAGTTGCCAACAATGCCCACCAGGAACACGGCACTATAAAGGACAGGGAGGAAAACAGACATATGTTGCAGGTGCTGGTGCTGGCACTGGTCATCGTAGTAGTAGTCGTAGTTGAAGGTGACTGCAGCCGTGGATGACAGCTCGGGGAATTCCATTTCTGACCCAGCTGTCCTCATCCTCTCTCTGAGGGAGGCTCTGAGCTTCCCCTACCCTGCCCTTCCAGGTCTTCTTTGAAAATATTATATCAGTGAGCGGGGAGGAGGGGGAGAGGGGGGAGGAGGAGAAAAGTGGTTTTGTGGGGAGGTAATTTGTACACTTTGAACCAACTGCACAGGCAGTGAACAAGCAACAAGGGTATCTGATTAGTCAAAACCCTGCCTTTAGAATAAATGTGTGTGGCTTTTATAAAAATCAGGTTTAGTTTTTCTGAGTCTATCTCCATTTTGCATTTTCCGGCTTCAGGTTTTGGTTTTTTTTTTCAGGTGGAGGGAAGGCATTTTTTGAGATTCTGAACTTTTTTTTAGGAAAGTCTATTGGTAGTTTGAAGAAATTTGAGATTGTACCAGCTTATAAGAACACCAAGAACAGTGAATTTGGGTGCCTCAACCTTTATCTATAGTCAAAACATTTTATATAAATTGCTTGTCAGGGCAAGTCTGACTTTCCTGAGGCTTGGAGGTTTTTACTTTACTTGACTATTCATGATTGTTTTCTGTTTGAAAGTAATTCTCTCATATGCATATGTATAGGGAGAAGCATTTAGAACTCCTATATCCATTCTGCCCTGTAGCTGGTTGTTCTTTATCAGGCCCAGGTTCTTGGCTGCCCTGCCAGTGCCACCTCCTGCCCTGCAGCCCCACCAATTCCCCTAGATCTGGACTCTCTACACCCAACTTTAGGAATGTATTAGAAACTTCGAGAACAGTTTTTCAATGTGTTGTATATTCTTCTGCCATTTGAAACTCGACGCTTCCATCCCCCACACAGGCTTCCTTATCATCCACAGTCCTGGACTCCAGAGCAGTGGTTTGTTCCTTTTCCTTCTGCCTGCACAGCCTATAAGGCTCTTGAGCTGTTCTTACATACTGCACTCGCTTGTCTTAACGAGCTCTGATTTCCTTCATCTTTCGTTTGCAGTATCAGTATTACTCCAGCTGTGACTTACCTTACAGACAACCCTGTCAGCATTGCATAAATCAAACAGAAATTCTCATTTTTAAAACTACTGAATTCATTACAGCTTTGTCAGTGCATACTAATTTGAAACCTGCACTATTGGTCTTCATCATCCTTCCTCTCTTCTAAAAATAAACTCATTTTCTCCTTCCTCTCCCTCCCACCAGCATGTTCACAGACCAGGCAGGCCTCCAGGATTCTCAAAGCTTTGAGGAAATAGCCTCCTGGTGCGTGCTCCATCCCCGGGCAGACAGATTGCATCTGTGCGTGCCTTCGCATGCAAGGAGCAACTCCAAACTGCATGCACAGCTAGTTAGTCCCTCCAGTGCAGCTGATATCTAATAAGCACCCACTTTTACACAACTGCTGTCCTATCTGTAGGGCACTAGTGGACTCTAGCTGACTACTTTTATGGAATGTGTAAGCATTAACTTAGTGAGTATAATTCAGCCATCACAAACTCTGAAAAAGGATCAAGGTGTATAAAAACATCCTGGCTAAGATGATTGATTTGTATGCCACAGATGTAAATGTGAACCTGTAATGAATAACAGGCTAAAAATCATCTTCCTGCCATCTCAAAGTGGGTTGTAAGTGCTCATCTTAGAAATTATTATATCCTCTTCTAAGTAAGAGGCAGTGACCCTGTTTAGCTAGTTCACTCATGAATCAGGGTTAAAAAAACTCCATGGATTTGAAAAATGCCTCGTTGTTATTCTAGAAGTAATCTCCTGCACCTGATTACCTAAAACACAATTCTTATTTTCAATGAAATGTAAAAGTCTCTTCTGTGGTGATTAAAGTGAGTAGGTACTGTTACTGCAAGTCTTTGTGAGACACTCATCAGTGGTCAGCTACAGTGTGGATTTATGTGCCAGCTTATTTCTTCCCTGGCAAAGCTGGGAGAATGAATCACAGAACCAAACTCTTAAAACTCCTAAAATTAGGTTGTGTTGAGGACATTGCAACTTGCATGCAAGTGACATCAAGTGTAAACCTGCAAGAAAACACAGACTAAAAATCATCCCCTCACCATCTGAAGAGAACAAGGAATATACTAAGTTTTCAGCCAAGACTTATGTAAAATTGCCCAAGTATCTTATTCTTTACAAAAACGATGTTTGATAAATTCAGTGCAGAGGTGAATTTTGTGTGATCTTTGCTTATTGTTGCTTCAAGGACTGTGTTTTAGTTTAGTTTTGTTTGGGTTTTTTTCCAAGAAGCACTGGAAAACAGAGGCATTCTCTTTCCATTAGTACTAGAGCAGGAGACCAGCTGAACCCTACAGCCAATTCTGCACTACTTCTGCCTCTCTTGCAAAGGTGGATCTACATGTCATTTTACTCTGCAGCTAGAGAACAACTGCTTACAAGCATTTATAAGCTTTAGAAATCAGATACAAATCTCAGAATCAGATACAGATTCTCTTCCCTCCATTGCATGCTACTTCATACTCCTTGAAATTCACTCCTTCCCCTCTCCATCTCAGAGCAAACAAAAAAGTGAGCAACTTTAAAAAGCTTAAAGGCATCATTAAGATAAGTTTATGTCTGTGTATTCCTGTTTGTGGTCCCTGACTATGTTGTTTCTCTTTAGATTAATAACCCTACTCACTAAATTAAAAAATTTAATAGTAAACCTTTTCCAACAGGGACCAACTCTGCTCTCCTGAATTTGCTCTGCATTTCTTAAATGCTCTAAGCAGACTTAGGGATGTCACTGCACAGTTGCCATATTCCACATGTGACACTTCCTTATCCGGGCAGAAGATTTGCGAAGATAATCTAAAGCACTGCTGTGAATAACAAAGTGATCTGTAATTATCCGAGTGGGGCAGCAGCAGGCATGTTTGTCAGTAGCCTGAGGTGTTTTTATGTGATAGTGCATCACTTAGGGCATCATGTAGGGTCTTACTCTTCCCACAGCTCTCTTTCCTGAGACAGAGCCAAGCTATCAAAAATACTGAGTACATGGAAATTCCTCTCATAACATTCCTGCACAGATATTCCAGAAAGCTCAGGAGGACAGACTCCATCCTCTCCTCAGACTACTCTGCTATTTCCACAGCATTTTGCTCCTCCCAGGCTTCACCAGATACATGTAAACCCTTTTCTCCAAAAAAAAAATTTCTGCTGAAACAACCAGCTACTTTTTTGGCTCAGGTGTATGTTCTTCCATTTGGGACACCCATCTTGTCCAGCCCCTGACTCAGCTCTGAAAAAATGACACTTCTGAGTGCTGAGTAGTTTTGAACCTGAAAACCAACTTAACTTTTGTAACCAGACATTCAGAGCAGGTACTGTGATGGTGGCCCTGCATTTGGCCAGATCTGCTTTAAATTGTGCATTTCTCTGATGGTTCTGCCTCTCTCAAATGCACCTGTGAGATCTGCCAGGTCAGAGTTTGCATCATTCCTTAATCTTCCTCGTAGGAACATGGAGGTATTTCCAACAGCAGCAAGGGAAAAGCTTTCATGTCTTTGTTCAGGCTTCTGTACTGCCTGTGATACATGCATTATGGTAGGTAGTCACGTAATTTGTGGGGAAAATATCTGCACAGGAAGTAGGCAGTGCTGCTGATTTTCTCTTACACACACCACCTCCCCCTTAAAACATCTGCAATTGAAGCATTTCAGGTAGCAAGGTGTGGGTTTGGGTTTTTTGGGTTTTTTTGTTGGGTTTTTTTTTCTTTATTGTTGTTGTTTTACACTCTGTTTTACTGATAGCTTAAATGTCATTTTATTCCAGCTTGTACATGCACTTTAATATAAGCACAGGCATCTAGATAAAATAAGCTGGATATCTGTAAATTATTAATAGTGATATATGCTGAGGAGGACAGACGTTGATATATGCTGAGGAGGACAGACGTTGATTTGGCTGTAAAATGAAATGTAGTAGTTTCTGAATTATTTTACTTAAAAATCCATGTAAAAACAGATCTAATTAAAAAAGAAAAAAATCAAAAACCCCACATTAAATTGGCTGAAACTGCCCCACTATGCTATGGCTAGTTGCCCCACTATGCTATGGCTAGTTGAAGGCAGGCTCAGAGGCAACCACACAAAGGTTAACCAATGGAAGTTTCATCCCTCAACAAAGAGGAAAGGGTGGAACTTATTCAGGTAAAATTGTGGGCACTGAGACAATGCATAATGATAGACTGAAATAGTTTCATGCTGAGAGCAGTGGTCTACAAAATGCAGTACAGGAAGAAAATATTTTTGTACATTTAATTTAAAAATATTGATTATTGTTTCTTGCCATTTATTTCATCCTTTTTTAATTTATATTTTTGTGTATGTTTTATAATGTACAAATCATATATTGGTGCTGTAGTACGTGTACATAATTCTAAAAAACCACATTTAATAGGGGAGCCTGCTCAAAAAGTTTTTACTGACAAGGTACATGATTAAAAAGTTTGGAGACCACTGACATAGATGATGAGAATCCTTATAATGCCCCAGTGCTATTCATGATCTTTGGAAACACATCTAAAAGGTTTTCTGTCGCTGAAAATTATACTACTGCATCCTGGGCCACAAAATATTAAAGAAAAAGAAGGCAGAAATAAAACCAGACAAACTGTGTAAAGAGGTCTGAGGTGAGTCGAAGGGTTTTCCTGCTGACTCAGGCTGTGTAAAATGCTCATAGATGGTGCCTAAAACTAAAACTGCCCTTTTTACTATTGCAAAGAGAATATTTGTTGGGGGAGGTGACATCTTGTTAATTAACTAGTAGTTTTGGAAAAAAACAGGCAGACTTTTGAATACATTTTTCAGGTCTGAATCAGTAACTCCTGATGTGAATGTGATATATGAAGTAGGTTTTGTTCTTTTTTTGTCCTTTTCAGCTTCATTTAATGCAGATGGTGCCACCTCCTACAAATGTTTATTTATTTCCTTAGATTGTGAGAACTAAAATTACAGATATTTAGTACTAAACAACTTAATTATTTTTGCAACATATTGGGGTTTTGGTTTTGTTTGTTTTGTTTGCAGCACTCTGATGTTAAACTCTGTCAGTGCCTGAGAAGTTAGTAATGCTCTTCTTGATCCAGGTCTGCTATCAAAGAAATTTCACTTTTGCAAAAAGCAGGAACAGCATTTATTCTATAGCTCTCAGCATTATTCCCTTTGTGCTTTCCTGCACACAGTAAAGCAAACTTTTACTTCTAAAACCTCCCCAGCTGATCCTGTTGTGTAACTAAACTGATCAACCAGCGTTTCTGCTGAGGCACACTGAGGAGGTGTGAAAGGGAGAGAAAAAAGAAGAAAGATACTTGTTGGCAAGGAACCACCCTGTGCATTCACTTGTAATGTTTTATTGGGTTACTTTTACTATATGGAAGGGTGTTTTTCCAGAAAAAAAAAAAAAAATCCAAGTGAAATCTGTAGAGAGTATTTGATTTTAAATAAATGAAATGAAAATATAGTTCTTTGCTCTGGTTGCTTTTGAGCAGCTGCACACTTCATATTGATCAGGGCAGATTAGGAAAAAGAAGAGGCCACTGTAGCCTAATTTAATAATGGAAGCAGTATTGGCTGCAAAGTTTTTCAGAATTGATTTTCATGTTTATGAAATTAGATCTTTTAGGAGAAAAACTGAAGACATTCCAGTGTTGAATAATTCACTGCACTTTACAGTAAATGACTCAGATTCTGAGATACACACGGGTTTTGTTGACTTTTTTTTTCTTTTAATGTTTTCTGAATTCCACCTTTGATAGCTTTTCCAGGTATACAGAAAGAAGTTCCTGATTTTTTTTCCCTTCCCTATTGCTAATATATGAATTTAATAATCTTGCAAGTCATTAGTTCAATAAATTAACCCCTTAAATAAACTTCTATAAATAAGATTGACTGACCTTCTGTGATATATTTCATTGAGAGAGGTTTTCTAATTGCTCAGTGAGTTTCATATCCCTTTTCAGGTTTATCTCTGCTTTGTCAAGGTATCAAAACTAGACATGCTATGTCAGAGCCAGCAGCAATTCTAGATGTGATACCACTTCTTTCCTCCTTGTGATTTCTCACTTTGTACATCCGAGGTTACGGGAAAGTTGGGGGAGTTTTTGGGGGGCCACATCTTGTCTGTTGGTACTTCATCAACATTTTTCCTTTTCATTTTGCATTTCCCAGGATAAAGTCTTATGTCAGGTAAGTACAGCCTCCAGTCCTTACTTTTAAATTAATGAGCTCATCGATGACCTTATTGAAACGCATGTTTGCTTGCCCCAGCTACAACATGATCAGGTCACCCTGTCCCAGTGCCTTCTCCGTGTCATTATTTACCCTTCTCTCGTGTCATCTGTGAGGTTTATCAGCAATACTCTGCTTTCTTCCAGGCCATTGATAAAGATATCAACTATTTTAGAATTCAGGATAAACCCCACACAGATCCGAAAATATGTCTTTGTAGACAGTCGCATTATAAGGTGGTGGTGAGAAAACTCCATGACACAGAAAGTGGGACAAATAGACAGAAGTTTCTTAAATTAAATGTAATTTCTAATTTTTTTTAATTAAAAAATTAATGTTTTAATGCATCAAACCCAGTAAGTTTCTTCTATGACTGCTTTCACCTTTACATCCTAGTCTCTGACCTTACTGCAAAAATGCTTCCTGGCTTTTTCATGGAGGAGTTGGTCGGGATAATTCCCCAAAAGTCTTCAGAGATGTGAAAGCCTCGGATATTTCTGGGGTTTTTTTCTGAATGTTTGCTTTGGAATTTTGTAAAACCAAGACTGGCTGGGCTGGTCTCTAAGCCAGGGGAGTTGTTAACCACTCTTAAGAGTCCTCCTGTAATTTCCGTGGTTTTCTGTACCAGGGATGGAGGGAAACGGCCAGTTTGGGGCATGGAGCCAGCGCTGCCAATTTTTGCAAATTTTCCTGGATTACTTTTTTTTTCCCCCTTAATTGGTGTTTTCTCGAGTCATTCAGCCGGGATGTCACGTCCCTGTTTTTTACAAGCAACCAAGAGAAACAGAACTAGAAAGGAGTGTGTAGCCAGGTGGGGATGAGCCTTTTCTCTCAGCCAAACAGCGACAGGAGGAGAGGACAGGGTGCCGGGGCGGCTGAGGCTGGACAAGCAGCAGTTTCCCCACAGCCAGGCCGGTGAGCCATTGGAAAGGGCTCCCCGGGGGTGCCGGCGCCTCCGGAAGGGGCGGCAGGACTACATCACCCAGCGTGCCCCGCGCGGGCGGGTGCGGCGGGCGGAAGCGGGGCCCGGCCGGGTGCGAGGCGGC